TTGGATTGTCTGACATTCTCTGCGAAGAAAGACCTGTGCAGGATTTGATGCTTGAGCTCTGCTTTAACATTCATGTGCTGAAGTGCTTACCTTTATAGAGCATTTGCAGCCAGGTATTACAAGCACAGTGCCAACCTGCTGACTCTTCTGCTGAAATTATTCTTTCGCACATTCAGGAGAAGAAATTGTCAAATTCTACTTATTTGGATCCTATCAGAGATCACCTGTCAGCTGAATAGTACAACCAGTACAGATTTTCTGTTGAGCTAGAGCTTTTGTGGATATCTTCTTTTTTTTTTTTTAACCACGGTGTTGCTTCTGTCTGATCCAAGCAGCCCTTGGTTTGTCATGAACCAGACGTAGATGAAGTAGAGGATGGTGGCGGAACCATTGATTCCATTGGCTCACTGCTCGTTTACTTAATGCGGCTTCATGTTGTGTTTAATTACATTTAGGACCCATGCGGGAGCGGCACTGGTGCCAAGTTGGTTTCTGAGCCAGTGCAGCCACAGAAGAGACGTCTCTCTCCTGGCTTGCATATTTCAAACGGCATTACACAGCTAAATGTCCTCCGAGTGACTGTGTATCTGCTCCAACTCCTTGAATGCAATTAAGCTCTTAATTTATTAGACAGCTTTGGAATGATGCCCTGATTAAAGAGACCATACATTAACAGTCATTCAGTAGAAGTACATTAATGAATACAGTGAGTACTTTATAGGTGAACTTCCTCTCTTCCCCATTTGTGCCTCATTCTTGCATCTCATCTTTCTCTTTTTACCTGGCTCCCCCCGGAGGTTGAGCAGCGCCACTGCAGACTCTGCCAATAGTACCTGCGTAGCTGTAGTCACTGCATTGTGATCAGGACTGTTGAAGGCAGTTTGTCTGCTCCGGGGGTAAGAGCTGCTTGTTAGTAGTATTTGGGAAGCCTGGCGCGCTAGGGGACAGGAGAGGTCTGCAGAGCAGGTGGAGAAAAAGAGGCGAGAGCTACTTCATGTGGTACCAATAAGGATAAGATCACCAGAGATACTGGACTTCTGCTGATTGATGCTGGCTGCCGAAAGAGAGAAAGAGGAAGGAGGGTGGCCAGGAGGAGGGGGAATAATTGTGTGTGTTTACTTGCATATGAGAAGCTGGGGCATTTGGAAATTGTATTGTATGCATGCATGCATGTGTTGTCTCACCCAGCATGTGTGTCAGTGTATGATGTCAGTAGTCTCAGTCAGCACCACTGAAGGTGGCGTTACTGCTGATGTTTTGCCTCTGTCGTAGTGCCAGCTGCTGCTTCCCAAAGCAATTGGGACTCAGCGAGGAGGGGTTAACGAGTACAGAAGGCTGACAGACTCAAATGGGAGTGAGCCGGTGCTCACGCAGTGACAGGAGGCAAGCTTCTTGAGAAATGTTTCTTTGATGTGTGCGCTTTGTCAGAAGCTCAGAGAGCAGAGAAGAGATAGTAAGACCAGATAGTTGAGGAGACAGGTGAGGAGAGCTCCCAGGTCAATGTTGGAGTCAGGACTAGAGTTAGATTTCCAAACATCGGCTTGTTTCATTCTTACCTTTTTCTTTCTAACTGAAGTTGGAGTGAGAAACGGAGAGTCTTTATTTCTTTTAGTCTCTCTTCATGTTTGCCATGCTGTGCCTGATCTCTACTGAAGTTTATTTTTTTCCCTCTTTGAAGCCGATCAGCTGACTGCAGATATCCCAAAATGCCCAGACACAGATCTGGAACAACATAAGACGGTTTTTCCTACAGCAAAAGGCGTTACAGCAATGTCTCCGTGTGTCATATAGTTTCATAGATTGATGGCATTGTGGACAAAAGCAAAGTGGGTTTTCCAGTGTGGTGGTGTATGCTTTCCCAACATATTTTAGTTTGAATGTGAATCTTTAAGCAAACACTGTTCAAAAGTGGGATGGTTAGTACAAAACAAACATTCGAGGTGACTCAGCATTTTTGAGTAAGCTGTCACAAACTTGCTTACATTGTACAACTCACATTTCCTCCACAGGAAAAGTGAATATCTTAGTCCACTTATGCAATAAAGTAAAAGCAAGGTAAAGTTTGTGGTAAGTTTTACTAAAACTGTCGCACAAGTCGATCTGTTTGTACAAGTTTTTGCAAAATTCCCCCAACCCACACAAAATGTGTAAACTAACCTGTTTATTTTGTGTTTGGAAGCCATTTCAATCAATTCAGAAATTGTTTGCATGTTCATTCAAGTCATTGTAACAGCGTTGCCTTGGTCCCCGATTTGATATTTCATCTGCCTCGTTTGGTCTGTCGAGCATTCTTGGAATCTCATTCAATGAAACATTACAATTATCAGTCTGCAAGATGAACTGCCACACCGTGGCAAACAAAGTTTAAAATTCAGAAAGTAAACATGTTGATAATGCACACCTCTGAAGATGTTGTTTACATTAGAGTCATACCCCTCAAGGAGCTGCAGCAGATGCAGAAGCAGCTGGCTATTTTAGCCTTAATTTCACCCAATTTATTGAATCTGCTGAGTATCACACCTTCCTCAAGGGATTACTCCCTCCAAGTTCATCCACCTGTTTTATATTTGCAAAAAGAAAAGTTCTTTGGGCTTCCCTGAGGTGTCAATACACTGAAAGCAGACTAATTCTGATTCATATGAAGCATTTAACCTTAACACTGCTCTACCAAAGAGTGCTGCCTGAGAGAGTCTGACCTCTGTTAGATTAATAGATGAAACTTGCATCTTGACTCTCTGGTTATGCCTTCTTCTTCTGCAATGGTCCAATGGCATCTAACTGGAGAATTATTGCCACCAGCTGTTAAATTTGACAAACTGACCAGTTCAATGAGTAGAAGTGAATAATTTCCCATTTTTTTCTTGATTTTATTTTATTTTTTCAATTGTCTATACCCAAGTGGAAACTTGACCACTGCTCACATGAGTGTGTCTGGTTGCATTCCCCCGCAGAGGCCTTAAACATCTCTTTCCTTATCCTTAAAAGGGAACAGGAACAGAAGACGGTGACTGCTAAATATGACACAAATCAAACCCCCGTTCCTTCATCTTTGGTCTTCGGTTTTGAGCTTGTGTCGACTAGATGACCTTAGCAGTTGAGCAGATTTTACGAAAGCCTTATTGAAATTTCCTGCAGCCTGCTGTGATTGTAGCTGCCACACACTCTTTATTCCTTTTTTTCACACACTTCGCCGCCCCCACCCCGTCTCTCTTTCCTGTTTGTTTACTTGCCCCCCGATGGGACGCGGTTTGCATTTACAGTGTGTTTTTCGGTGCGTCTACGCAAGTCTCCTCATTTGCGAGCGTGCGCCTCTTTTTTGCGACCAGGTCTTAACGGATGTCTGTTTTCCAGCATTCATATTGAAACGGGAGTTTCCCCGATGACGGCTCTCATTTTTTCTGGGTTACACTTTACGACTTCTCATCATGGACAAAGCTGCTGAAGGAAACCACAACAGATACAAATGTATGAGAGGCGGCAACTTTAAAGGAGCAAACTTCCCGCTTCCAAGAAAAAGAAAAGAGCTGGGGAGAAATGCTTTTAATTGGGAGCAGCGTGTGAGGTAAATGAGGGGATGTGAGGATTACTTCAACATGGGAAATGGTTGGCTTTTATGGAAATTTCTTAGGAAATGTCTCAAATTTGAGCTGCTGTGTGGCTTCATGTAGACTTGTTATTCATGATTAAATCTCAAAGTTCAACTCAAGAGAATCAGATCCTTTTTTAAGTTGTAGATTCCTACCCTAATGGATGATCTTACATTTTTGAGGGGATTTTCCCTTCACAAAGTTATTCTTGCTGTTTAGGTCTGTGTTGGATTTTTTTTTTCTTCATCTGGGATTACAAGAACAGCTTTAACAAGCAGCGCTGTAGCAGTTGGTGTCTTTATATGGGCTGCTGCTGCATCTCCATTCGAGCCTTTTAGGACGAAAGACTTCATCTATGGCTGTCTATTAAAATCTGCATCAAATGCACCCACATCACAGTGGGAAGAGCTGGTACTGCTGCCTGACTCTTAGTCAGAGAAGTCTGGAAGGAAATCTTGAAGATTGAAGGGCAAGGGTAAAGTTTGCAAGCTAGAGGGAAATCCTTGGCCCTGCATAGCCACTGATTCTTCTGTATGGTGCATGGGGCCAAGCACTTGGAGGCCAAATGTGATTCATATCTTTCATCTCTGGAGCCTGGTGAATGTGCAACAGCTGTCAAGACTTATCTGCATCTCAACAGACAAAGCTTCACTTATCAGTCAGCTTATGGGCTTTAATGAAAGATAAAGATTCTGTTAAGAGTTTTAGGCGACAATGCAAAGGATTGTATGACTTGCTGCCCTTCCAGGTTTGAAAGATTCAGTTAGGAAGTGAATTCACCTGTTCCTGCAAACATCTGGATCTGTGTTTTACACATCAAGGAAGACTTTTCAAATCTGTTCTGAGTTGTTTCAAATTTGTTTAGCAGTGTTCTAGTTTTCTGGGTGTTCGGTAAATATTCTGTATAGAAACACAGAGTAGTTGTGCAGTCTGTCATTTTAAAATCAAATGCCAGCATCAGATAGAGAACTAGTATTAAGGATGAAGTGTGTGTTTGTGTGTTCGTGTCTGGGCCCGAATGTCAAACCTTGATGAAATATTTGTGCCTGAGCAGCAAAGATGTGCAAGGAATCCGAGTGTTTGAACATTATTCCCTGGCAGGCATTTACCACTTTTCTTGTAAAGTGTGAGGAGCAGAGCAGAACGCTGTTATAGGATGGATGGCGGGGAGGGGATCTCAGCACTGGTTTTGTGATTGAAGGCTATCAAAGTCAGCAAGATTCAAGTAGCCTTTAGAGCAAAGCCACAAAACTCAGCATCCCTTCCTTTCTGCCATTCAGTGTACAGTCTTTCTTAAGTTTTCGACATCCCGTAACTAATGTTATGATTTGTTGGGATCCTGTGTGGTGTAACTAATGGGTCTAAAACAATACACACACACAAATTGACAGAGTGTTTGTTCTGTTGTTACAGATCTACACAGACTGGGCCAATCACTACCTGGCCAAGTCTGGCTGTCCGCGTCTCATCAAGGACCTGAGCCAGGATGTCACCGATGGAGTCCTGCTGGCACAGATCATCCAGATCATAGGTGAGCATCTGTGTGTGTTCTCTTTCAGTGTTTTAACTTAATCCACTTTTGTGCAGATCACAGTTAAAAAGATAAAGTAGATACAGTCATGAAGAGACAGAAACACTGACTTCTCTCATACAAACAGTGTACAGTCTTGCTTTGAGCCTAACTTTCAATATTTAAAAAAAGAATATTAATGAAGTACAGATGGATGAAGCCCATGTATTACCAACAGAGAGTGTGTGTGTGTGTGTGTGTGTCTCTATAGTTTGCTCTGTTTGGTGGATGAATCGACCACCCACTCACTCACACAAACACAGTATTTGAGCTTTGTTGTGGTGAGTTGGAGCGAAGCAGTTTCTCAGTCTGAAATTTGGGCCAAATCACAGCAGCTCTTTCTTGTTTTGGGTGCTGGGCAAACTATAAGAGCACAGATCTATAACTCACCCATGGGTGCAGAGGCATGTGTCTCCCATTGGAGTACAGAGAGTCTTTACTTCTCTCTCCCTTTCTGTTGGTCTCTTTTTTTCGTGCCTCATGTCTCTCTGGCTTGTTGCACCCTGCTTCTCTCCATCCTTGATTCCCTCACTCTGTTTTTTTCTCCTTCTGTTCCTGTTTTCATTTGACGACACCTTACTGTGCAACATGTGTGAGAGATTAGGATTAAATAGATGGAATAAAACTGCAGCTGCTGATGTTGGTCATGATTTTTGCAGTCTCAGCAGAAATTACACAGAGAAGGATTGACTGAAGACTGGCCAGTGATGTTGTTGCAGTGGGAGGCAAACAGTTTCCTGACACAAATAAATAGACCTCCTATAAATTTTGGGATAAGTGGATAAATTGGGTGGATCAGGTCAACTGACTGTTTCTATTTGGTTTTGTACTAACTTCAATTTCAGTTAAAATACAATTGTTATGAAGACTCAGAGTAAACCTCCTCCACTAAGACCAAAATCCTTCCAGTAGTTTGAATAAAAGGTGATCCCAATCTAACATTAAAGGGGTTCCTCCGTTGCCTGTTTTCCACCTTTGCACCAGGTTTCTTATTTTTTAAATTTAGATTTTTTTTCTTTTAATTAAATGTCAAAATACAAAAAAAGACACAAGAAAAAGTCAGACAAAGACATGGAGTGAGTATGTGGATCAGACACATCAAATTATTCTTTTCCTTTGTCTTTGGATAACAAATCATAAAAACAGTCCAGTTGCTTTTTTGGCATCTTACGTTTACAATTAACTCTATAAAAGCTTCTCAAAAGCAGAGGTGTCCATCATTTGTTCAGTGACTTTGAGATTATTTCCAAATCTTAAAGAGTCTGGCACAAGTTACAAAACACACCATTGATGCTCTCACAACAAACCTATTCAGCTGCAATAAGGCACCCCAGAGCCTTGCTGACATTGGTGGTCCATGCAATCCCAAACATCTTTTCCAAAAAGGAAATACTTTGCAGCATTCCCAAAATGCATGCACATAAGTGCCTCTTTCAGTCCTTCATTTCCAGCATAAACCATCTTTAATCAAACCCATTTTATGTAAGGGAAGGAGGATAGTAATATCAACTATTTTGTATTAAATAAATTCGCCTTTGGCTTCCCTGGCAAATTTCCGGCTTTTGGAAATAATGTTCTCCGATGACTCATCATGGAACGTGAAGGTTTTTTCCCCCCAGGTTATCCTAAGACTGCTGATGTTCCTGTTTGTCCAGGGACACCTTTCATACCATGAGGATGCTTTGTGGTATATTGTTGGAAGTTGTACATCACACAGCATTGGGATAGTTCCTCGATGCAGCTGGATATTTCTTCTTATATAATCCCTTATTTGTTGGCGTTTCCAAAAATTACCAGATCCCACCAAATTCTGTTTTTCCTTGAGTGTAATAAATAAAATAAAATCACTTTCTTTGAAGAAACCATCAGTTTTGACACAATTTCTTAACCACTGAGCCCCACAAATAGTCTGTTTATACCAATTCTTATTTTGGTATTAAACCATATAGAGGAGAGATTCTAAATTTTTATACAATACATTATATTTGTTCACATTGTCATAAAATTAGGTTTACTCCTGCTTCATAGCTTGAGTTTATACTTATAAAGGAGTAAAGGGAGAGGGAAGTTCTCTTTCAATCAAGATCCAGTTCAAACTGAATTTTTCCCAGTCCAGTGTTTGGCCAGCTCTGCCATTTCGATGACGTGCTGTAGGATCCTACACGTGTGGCAGTGATAGATGTGCTAATTTTGTCCAGAGTTTCCTCCATTCCAAAGAAACTGTTTGATCGTATTATTATATCCAAATAACAACTGCTGCAGAATACACAGTGGATCCATGCCAGTTGTATAATTTATCTGTGGGGCTATAATCATCTTTACTATTTACCTTCCCCACAGTGTGAGTTGTATCCTGTTCTGATTATCCAAATTAACTTTTGCTTTTATCTAATAGAATTTCTAAATTAGTGGCAATGATCTCTGAAATATTGGGATTTAATTTGATTCCCATGCATTTCATTCCTTTAGACAGCCATTTGAACTTCAATGAGGGCAATAAATTAAGGAAGCAAGCTGAAGATGTTGGCATGGCTTCTTTGGCTTATGGCATTTAATTTTGCAACCAGATTATTTAAAAATCCACCTCCAATAATCCTAATAGAGAACAGGAGCATCATTGCACCAGGTTTCTTGACATTTGGCTTTGTGGTGTTTGCATAATCTTGCTGACAGACAGACAAAGAGCAGTAAAAACATACCACCGCCTCAGCTTTGACTTAGCAGAGCGAGAAGGGACCAAGTAACCAAGCTGTTTTCACACACATGTCAGGACATTTTAAAAGGATCATCTATCAAAGACGCTGACAAACAGTGCCATCCTGACGTTGTTCAACTTATGCATTATTTTGGACGGCAGTAACACATGTAGTGTTGAATGAGCTGCTTATAAGCCTGTATTCGGTTAGACCCTGAACACAGGGCAGGACTTCAGCAGCCAAATGCAGTCCCTGCTGCCATGCTAGCTGCTGGTAGTAAATTCCTCCCAAACTGACAACTGGCTAAGCTGCCTGCAACCACACAGTAATAATGAGTAATTCATCACATTTTTCAAGTAAGTTACCCAGCAGTGGCTCTTATATAATAAAGTATTAGCATCTTTCAGACACTTTTCTCTCACACAGTCTTTTTCTTCTTCTGGCATCTGTCATAGCTTGCTCTCTCCTTTTTTCCTCCATCTTCATCAGTTTGGCAAAACTTTGTGTGGGACTCTCTCTCCTTTCTTTTAAACACACACACACAGACACACACATGCACACACACTTTCTTGTCTATGTGCTTAGTTTCTTCCTTTCTGCAGTCTGTCTCACTAAATCTTCTCCTGTCTCACTTCCTTACTCTCACATTCACGCCAGCGTCTCTCTCTCTCTCCCCCTTTCTCCCACACACACACAGATTGAAACTTTACCCCTCCTGCAGACAATGAGGCCAAGCTGGCCTGTCAGTAACTCTCTGGCGGCAGCTGACGAATTAGGTAGCTTTGCTTCCCAGACCTCTCTGGAGTTGATCTGCACCTTAACTCGCGCGTGTGCGCTCATGCACTCACTCATGCACTCTCCAGCGCTAATCTCAGAGTTTTCCTGCTGTATTTTTTACCTTGAACTCAAAAGTCCCTGGATGTCAGGATGTTAAATTTCAGTATGGGTCTACTGTAAAAATCTCATGTCTTCATTTCCTTTCTCATGCAGCAAATGAGAAGGTGGAGGATATCAATAGCAGCCCCAGGAGCCAGTCGCAAATGGTGAGTGCATTTTAGCCTAACTCTTATATTGTTTTAAAGCACTGTTGCATGAGAGCAGCTTGTTAATGAAGAGTATTTATCTGGTAAGACAGATTTGGCAGCATTTAGGAGATGCCCTCATCAACAGCGACTGACAGCATTATAAACCTGTGGATATAAATATATTAACAGAGACAGTGTTGTCATGAGCAGCTCTCACTTCTATTTGGATTTAAGTGATCAAGAGCTAAGATAAAGTAATGGTTTCATATATTATTTGAGTGAGAAAAAGTTACATTGTATAAAGTACTCACACTTGGTTTGAGTTTGCAATCTGTTGGTTTTGTGCTGATTTTTAAATGCAGACTGACTAGTTAGCAGTAGTAGTAAAACTGATTCAACTAGTTCCCTTTATAATACGCTTTGCTGTTGGCAATTCTTTCACCACCTCTTGTATATGCAAAGTCTCACTTCTCCTGAACCCAGCCACAGATTTCTAGCAGTAAATAAGAGTCATATATGATCAGAGCCCCTCATGACTCTTGTTTTTCTGGTCAGAAAAATGGTGATGACCACTTTAACCGCAGTTGACCAACTGACCAAAAACAGTTTCATCTTGGACTTCTTTGCCATTTTGAAAAATCTGTATTTCTGGCTGCTCTGCGGCTGAGTGGTGTTGGCAGTGTCGTGTTTCCCCTCTGTTAATGAGATGACGGGCTGCATAACCGCTGATTTTCGTCACTGTGAGATAATTACCCCTCACTTTAACCAGAGTTGACTAAGTGTTTATGTAGTGTTGGTTTGCCCTTGGCATCTGCCCTCCTGCCATTAAAAGTGACTAAAGCAGTTTTAGCTGCTCTGGCTTGCTTTCTTAATAAAACACTGGGGGCGACGAGTGTGTTTGGTCCCAACGGCGTGTGTCAACCTTTGTCATAGGTGTACCACAGTGTCTCTTTGTGCTATTTTCTCATATGGATCAATTTTAACAGATGGACTTCCAACAAGGCAAGAACATTTATTTGATAAAAATCACTGTTTCTTCCCAAAAGCATCCCATTACCAGAATGAACCGAAACATATTTCTACAACTTGTTTCACACAGCAGTTTTCAGCTGTTCCATGGTGAGTCCAGCTGTGGTGAAAGCAGACTGTGCACTATGTTGGAAAAACAAGTTTAAAGAACCAGGAAGGAAGAAAACGTTAGAGTCATCAAGACCTTGCAGACCCCTAATGTGTGTGAGAGTTCACTGTGTTAAAACCTGCAAAAATAAAACTCTTGCAAATGTATTTTTCTTGTCATATAAAATGATTCTAGTCCTGCCTGGAAACAGCTGAATCCAGACTCTTGCACTGGTCACTAAGGGCAAGCTTCTGCAGCAATGCAAGTATGTGTTTCGATACGCCAGCGTTCGCTCCGGGTGTTTGTGTGTGTTCGTGCAGTTTGCTCTTTGTCCCAGTCGCTTACTAAGCCCATTGATCCACCACCTGCTCTGACTGCAGAGGGTCTGGCCAGCTTGGGAAAAAGAAGTTTGAGGAAGCACAGTTGCTTATAGAGTGAGTGAGAAAGGAAGGAAATATCTGTCACGCACATACAAACAACTCTACAACGATGCAGCCAACTAGCAGTGTTTGAAGGTTTTTACAATGGCAGATACTGTAAAATAGCAGCTTGCTAATTAGGATATGTGAAATCATGTTAATCTTACATTTAAATTACATGTTAAGCACAAAGCACTCTAAGCACCAATGTGTGTAAAGTGAAGCAGGAGTCTGTTAAGTTCAAGCTAACCTTCATGGTCAGGTGGATGCAGCTTCTATGATTTTGTCTTTCTTTTCATGTACAGTTAAATTTTCAGGTCCCGTTTCAGATTGTAAAAGACTCAAAGTATTGTGAAACAACGCTAATAATCAGTTCTTACTTCATTAAAACTTTATGAAAAATAAAGTTAATTAAAGCTGCAAGCAGCGTTATGAGGGCCCTCGCACCCCCGGCGCGTCGAGCCACGCCCAACACCTGAAACCAGCACGTCCGATCTGATGTCACATTGATGGAATTCATGCATTTAACCACCAGCTAACATTTCATCTCATTCATTCATGATTAGTTAGGCGTCCCACTAGGTGGCGCTCTAACTATTACTGACAAATGGCATAACAAACATTTCCCAGCTCGAGTCTCATCACACCTATGACCTTTGGGAGAGATTGAACATTGTGTTTTTGATTGACAGCAGATTACTGCTTTTTGACGAGTGATTGAAACCACGTGCCGCCATTACCACCCCGTTTCCCTGAACGAAAAAGCTTCGCAATTTAACATCACAAAGGTCTTTAGATTCCACACACTGGAGATTGCATCAATCTGATGAAATCCCTTGGAGGAGTTCGTCAAAGTAGACGTGCCTGAAAAGAGGGGAAAATGTCGCCAAAATTACACATTAATTTTAAAATGGCTGACTTCCTGTTGGATTTGGGATATTGCTCCAAGAGACTTTTTTGTACATCTTGATATCTCCTATAAGCTTACCAGGTTTCAGACTCATACATAAAACACAGAGCAGGGGCTGTGGTTTTGAAATTTTGTAGGGGGCGCTGTGGAGCCATTTTGGGATATTCAATGAAAATGATCACATGACAAAAAAGCCTTCATCACATTGGAGGTAGTGCACCAAATTTCAAGACTTTTTAACTTTCCAAGCCCCTCAAAAGCCAACTTCATTTTCATGGTGAACCGCGTTGCCATCAGGGTGCGCCATTCAGTTTAAACTCACAATTTTCAGCACTAAAGCATCATGAAGGACTGATGGTGATATTCACCGCTTTTGAGGTGGCCACGATGAACCTGTGAAAATCAGTACAACAAAATTAAAGCCATGACATTTCCTGTTGCCACTAGGTGGCGCTGTCGTATTCCCGACAATGGGCACATCAATCTGTTCAGGGCGGGTCTGACATCATGCCTGTAAAGTCTGGTACTGATCAGACTGGATTTCATTGAGTTATACTAATTTGTTTCTTCATGGCGTGACATCAAAGTTCGCCATGCTGCTGGGGTCACACCCTTTCGCGAAAACTCACAGTTTTCACTGTAACCCAAGACCAACTCCTTAAGGCTTTCCTGGAGAAATTTGAGGCTGCAGATGTCACCCATCACATACTGTACCCCAAAGTGTAAAACATGACATTTCCTGTTCCCACTAGGTGGCGCTGTCCCTGTGTCAAATATGGCAGTTGAAATATGTTCAGGGGTGGAGCCTTATCATATGTGTTCACTTTGGTCAAGGTCAGAAAATGTATGACAAAATGAGAGGCAATAAGATTTTCATGGCGAGTCATCGAAATTCGCCATGGCGCCACGGCCTCATACGTATTGTGAAAACTCAAAAGCTCCGCAATTTAACATGGCACAAGGGTGTAGTTGACACTGTACCAAATTGAAGCTTATGACGACCAAATCCCAAGGAGGAGTTCGAAAAGTTCGAGGCATGGAAATGGCAAAATTAGAGCCAAAATGTCACCTTCTCTTCCAAATAGGCGGACTTCCTGTTGGGTTTGCGTCAATGGGCCCACAGACTTTTTTGTTCGTCTTGGCATGATACACATGTGTGCCAAATTTCATACATGTAGCTCAAACCATGTGGTCGTAGGGCTGCATTTAACAAGGCATAGGTGGCGCTCTAGAGCCATTTCCCAGTGTTCATATGTAAAACCATTAAAATACAAAATTTTTCACCAGACCTGGCATGTGTGCAAAATTTCATGAGTTTTTGAGCATGTTTAGGCCCTCAGAAAGGCCCTTGTTTTGCCTGAATAATAATAAGAAGAAGAAGAAACGGAGCAGATACAATAGGGCCTTCGCACTCTCGGTGCTCGGGCCCTAAAAACAGAAGTCAGTCTAATGTGTGTGTTCACGTAGCAGTGATCAGTGACCAGGTTTGCCCATTGGCTGCTTTATGTTTTTTCTGTATGAACATGATCCCAGATTGCAAACTGCTTTTGCCTTGGCTTCACCAAATGAACTGTATTACCCTAAGAGATAAACGTGATAACACTTGAACATATGGTGGCTTTCCGAGAGCAAAACAATGTTGTTTGGGTTGCCTATCCTGCGAGCTCGACCACTAACATTAATTTGAAACATAAGTTACTCACTGACAACTTGTCCCCATATCAAGCTATTTTTTTCTCACTCTTGGCTGTGTATTTATGACATGAGCTGTGAATTTTGGAAATCTGCCACTGGCCACCTTACACCTGGAGCTTAAACGCCTTGGCCAGAGACATGACAGTAGCAACAGCTGTCAGTGGAGGGACAGATGAGTCTGATTTACTTCCTCTGCACAGCTTTTCCCCCTCATTTGGGACTTTAGGCGGTGATCCTGGAGTCACAAGCCTGTTTCTCTAACTGGTAGGTCGCTGGCGCTCTGTCGAGTGGAGCGAGGCCAACTGAGCAGCTGCTGGAAGATGATGAACAGAAACCAGCACGACATCAGCATCTGCAAGCTCGTCTGCTAATCTACATACATAATGCGCTCTTTTTTTCCCCTCTAAATCCTTGTTCACAATACAAAAGGGCCACAGGTCAGTTGAAATCCAGTCACTTCCAGCAGTTTTTTGTTTTGTTACAAACAAAAAATGTTGTTGATATTTATTTGGTCTTTGAAGTGAATTGTGTAAAATGTGCGTTTCATAGTTATCTTCTACAAACAGTCAGTACAGTCCAATCATTTTCCCCCTTCTCATGTTATTTCATGCAAGCATGCTTTATCATACAAGTGAAGGGTAAAATTTAAAGTATATTCCATTGAGTATAGATTTCACAGTCTTTGCATTTCGTGTTGACCTCTCACACTTAGCTAGCCAGCACACTGTGGAAGTCCCTTTCCATCGCCCCTGAGTTCTTGGCCCTTATAATTACAAGACTAAAGGGTTATTACCGTTGACTGCTCGTGGGCTTGTGGGATAATATGCTGAAGAACAGTGGAAGTATGAATTATTAGAAACTCTTTTCAAGTTCTCTT